CGGTCCGCACCCAGACCGCCGGAAGGGAGTGGAGACCCCTCCCGCGAAAGCCCCCCCCCCCCCCCCCCCCCCCCAAAGACAGACAAACATGTTTGGAAATGGCTCATCACCATAGACTTGAGAGATATCTTAACAACATTTCCCCGCTAGAGTCGATCAAGTCCGGATCCGAAAATTTTGGATCTCATGGACTTTAGTCATTTGAGAAACGCATATGGTGCGTTGATCATTGAATACAAAAAAAACGGGAAAAAATATTTCGTTTCTTCGAAGCGATTATCTAATGTCGATTAGAAAATTTCATTGAAAGTATCAAATTGTGGTTCGATCCGGCTCACATCCTAGTCTTAAAACATTCAATAATTTCGGTCTGCGTCAAAAAATTTTGGACTCACTGGTGCGCTTACTCTCTGATCTCTTTATCACAGACTCTGATAAATGTGGTTGGTATTTGGTCAAAGACCGTATATCAATAACGTCTCATTCTAATATATGAACTATTTCCTTGTTTCATTTTTTGTTGATTCAATTGATGTATGATAAAGAAATGTATTCCAAAATAGATAGAATAAGACAATCGTCCTGTGCTTAGCAATACTAGCTATATCGTATTTTCATATTTTAATCTTGTAGAAATTGTTCTTTCAAGCTTTTCTTTTCTTTTGCACGATTTATCTAACATTTTTCGTTTAGACTTTAATCCAGAAGAAATGGTTGTACAACGAAAAATGCGTCGAGAAATGGTATATATTCTATGAACTTATTATTATTATTTTTTCAATATATCGTTTAGGTTCTTCAACATAAACAAATATTAAAAGATGTAGCTTTTGATGGAACAACCCTTTATTCATTTGAATATATTGGCGATGTAAAATTTATTTTATTTTATTTTTTTGTAATTTTATTTGAAATTTTGTTTGTTTCTCAATCTAGGAACGTACATTTCAATGTCAACATACAGTAACAGGTGATCCGATCGAAATGCGTCTTCGTTTAACAGCAAAGAATTCTCCAGATTCACCCAATTTTTTTCATCTTGTATGTGAAAATTTTGATTTTTAATAGATAAGTTTAATAATATTTAATTCATTTTTTTAGGCCAATTTAATTGTTCGGAAGTGAGATTTTCTTCAAAAAATTTTATTTTAATATTTAATTACTATTGATTTAGATTATTAGAATTATCTGGTTTAAGACTTATTGGTCGAAATTATTATCAATTCGATCGTAAAATTGATTTGGAACGTTATCGTTTAACACTTTTTCCTGGATTTTTAACTAATGTTAATATTTATGAAGGTTCATTGATGATTAACGTTGATTTATCACATAAGGTGTCTTTTTTTTATTTCTACAATATTTATTAATATGCATTTTCTATGATAATTTATAAAAGGTCTTAAATAAAACTACTGTATTCAATCGTCTTCAAGATATCTTTACACAATTTGTTGAGTGAGTTAAAAATATAAATTGAAAGAATTTTAAATATTTTTACTTTAGTTTTAAACGGGCACAAGATGAAGCAACAAAAGAACTTGTCGGACAGGTAAAAAGTCATATTTTTTTGTTTAGTTAAAAATTTCTTATCTCGTTTTGTTGTTAAATGTAGATCGTATTGACGACATACAATTCAAAAACATACAAAATCGATGAAATTGCCTGGGGTCAGTTATTGATTTCTTTCTTGTCTTTGGCTATATCTAAAAGTCTCGAACTGAAATTCGTTCAGAAATATCAACTTAAAATAATATGGGCAACGTTGTACCAAGCACAAAGTTGAGAATAGAAGAAACAAATAAAATCATTCTAAGCCGGGAAAATTTTACTTCGCGCGCAACGGATATAGATTGATCCATCGGCTCTAATCTTCTCAGGGCATGATATGATTTATACATTTTGAATGACAACAAATATTAGGTTACTGTTTCAAAATCTATGATAGATAAACTTTCATTTGATGTAGAATTAATTGGTGGATTCTTCCAGATTCAATGTTTAATTTATTGTCGGATCTAGGTTCAGAAGTCTAGCTTTTTGATGATCTAAGTCCGGGTGCATAAAAACATGCACCCGGAACTTCTTACATAGGTCATGAGGTGATTTGTAAATATTGACAAATATATTCTCTTTTAGACAAGTCTCCGAATTATACATTCAAAAAACGTGATGGTACTGATGAAACATTGGTCAAATATTATTATGATGTAAACGATTAATTGTTCCTTCATTTATTGTTTATCTTGTTACGTTTATATCTAGCGTTATCAATTGAAAATTGAAGATACAACTCAACCATTACTTATTAGTAAACCATCAAAAAAAGATCGACGTGCTGGACAAACAGGTCCACTTATGCTTATACCTGAATTATGTTGTGTTACAGGTAGATTATATAAAATAGTTAGTTTTATTAAACTTTTAAAAAATTTTCTTAGGTATATCTGATGTAATGCGATCGGATTTTCAATTTATGAAAGAATTAGCAACACATACACACATTGGTCCAATGGCACGTTATGAAAAATTAACAGAATTCTGTCACGATATTCAAAAGTGATATGATTCATTAAATAATTACTTTTTAGTTTTGCTTAAATCTTGATTTTATTTAGTAATCAAGAAGCTAAAGATGAATTGAAAAAATGGGAAATTAGTTTAGATACAGGCTTAGTTGAATTTGATGGTCGCCTTCTCGAATCAGAACAAATTCTTTATGCAAATCGTTCTATTCGTTATAAACATGATGAAGCTGATTGGAGTCGAGAAGGTTTGATTAACAAAACAGTTTTTCAAATATAAGAAAAAAATCTTTTTTATAGGTCGTAGTTTAAAACACATATCATGTAAAAATCTCAAAAATTGGACTGTTTTTTATCCATCATCATTACGTGAACTTGGTGATGAATTAATTAATGCACTTTATCAAGTATGCGTACCTTTTGG